CAGATTTTACTAACCTGTGTGAGATTTCACCTTGTTTTTCTTTTAAAGCCACTAGAGCATTATTTTGCTGTGGCTACTCCCCCACAAAACCCTGTTACTAATGCATGAGTGTGCTTTAAACTCAGTATTTCTCTCTTATTTGAAATTCTTTTGTACTTTTCTCTGTATTTTTGAAGGGGGCTTGCATTAGGCAAGGCTTCAGGACCTCTTGGTGTAGCAGATTAGAGCGTTAACTGTGCACTTTACCCCTTGAATGGATTTTATTCTCTCTGTTCTTGAGTGGCAGAAGGGAACAGGCATTTGTGCCCTGGCTGTTTTGATTCACACTCTGATATTATTGATAAATTGAGCCAGCAAAATACACACAGATTAGCAGATTGGAGGTGCCAGGTTTGTGTCCTTTCAGGATCAGAACAAGTTACTGCACTTAAAGTTGCTAAAGGGAAAAGTAATGCCTTGTGATAGACAAGGCACTTGCTCTAAAGCATTTTTTTTTTTTTTTTTGGTTCCAAAATATCCTGGATATCAGTGCTCCTAAATGTTTTTGGCATCTCAGCGTTGCCAATGGCAGCCAGCCTGGAATTAGCCAGCAATTAACACTCCCTGGGGATTTGCTAATAGCTGGAAGGGGTGGGTGAAAAGGGATGCTGAGCAGGGTGATCGGAGGGTGAGTGTCCTTCGCTGTGATCAGGCTGAGAGAGCAGCCACCAGGAAATCAGGCATTTCCCCCCTGCCTGGTGATAAAACCGAAGTGTCCTTAAGTGCTGCAATTTCCTTAGAGCCTTGGCTTTATTTTTCTTCCCGTGGTGGTGGCGGCTGGCTGTAGTTTCAGTCTGATATTAGAAGGTCTTTAAGAAAACCAGGGTTTCATGGGAAATCCCCCTTGTGGCTTCCTTCTGAAATAAGAGCAGCAATGATAATAAAAAATAAAACATTTTATTTCTCTTATGTTTCATTTACTGGTATTTTGTCCAAACTAAGTTTTTTGTCAGTGCTCTGGGCAAAAGCAATGATGCCAATAAACAATATCACATTTTCTCTGCTCCGGGAGTGTTCCAGGAGGCTGCTGTTGCTGACACTTTCATTCCTCAGTGGGGCTCACGGCACATGTGTGACCTGAGAACATCCTGCCGTCCCTTCAAAGGATGATCTTCCACAACCCTCTCTGTGTGAAGGTGGGATCTCCTCTCCTGCCTTGCCAGACATCAGTTTAATAAGAAGACCGAACTAAAGATCCCCCTCGGAGGTGACTTGCTCTCCTCCTCCTCTCCCGACAGGGAGAAAGTTAATGAGCTCCTGTTGTAACCTCAGAAAGACTCTCAAAACCTTCCAAAGCTGTGGGGAAGGGCTGCAGCTCAGAGCCAGACATCCTGAGTGAAGTAAATGCTCTCAAAACACTTGAGGGAGGAAAGGTTTGGGGTGGGGATGGACAGCTTGGCTTTTAAGGCTTGGACTTTCTTCTTGGCTCCCCAAAGTCTCCCTGAAGCCCAGGTACAGAGCAGCTGCTCTGCCAGGTCTGTGGATCCTGTTGGCAGCAAGTCCTTCTGTTAAATTCCTTATTTCACCTCTGACTCCACACAGGGGGGTTTGGGGCTCATTTACCCTTTTTGGCAGCTTGTGTTAAATCCCCTCCTGGTCCCGGTGCTGACTGTGGTGCTCCTGACTCTGCAGCCTCGTGTTTACCTCTCACAAATCCACTTCAGAGGAGCTGAAAGTGCCTGGAGAGAGTTTTAAGCCTGGCTACTGCAGAGTGCAGAGCTCCTCAGTTTCCTTTTTAAAGGCAGTGAAAGCTGCCATTGTGTTAAAATCAAGAGGGATGCGAATCTCCAAGTCTCAGTAAATTATTCTTGTCACTCAGTGTCTCCTCCTGCATTTGGATTTCTCTGAAGCTTATTAAAACATGTCTGAAAAATAAGAAGGGGAAGCAGCACCTCGGGTCACAGTAAATGATGTTGTTTATAGTTTGCCTGCACCAGGAAAGACAGTAAATTAATTTGAGCTCCTCACATCAGGGAGACTTCAGATGACAGTGAATCTCTGTGGGGACACCATGTGCAACCTGATTTCTAACTTTTATCTAATTTTGAAAAGAAGGAGTGGAAATGGGTGATCTCTCTCCATAAATTGGGACCTGGACAGACAAATCACCTTGGTCTGGAGAAGGAAAGAATGGTGTTTGTGGTGTGGAAGAAACGAGTTGTGTTCTTGTCTGACACAAGCCTTATGTGACCTTTCACAAAGCACTAAATTAGCCCATCTTTTGTCTTCCCCTGTTTTATAGCAGCTCTAAAACGCTCATAAAGTGTATTTTTTTTTTTTTTTGCTAGTTTAGCTTCAATTGAAGTGTTTGTGGTTTTCCAGAGCAGATCATATTGTGTGGCATTGCCCTTCTTACCGTTCCCACTCACTCACAGTGTCATCCTATCCCAGGACAGCATTCCATAGGGCCAGCAAGTTCCCATCAGTGGGATGGGGTGGGTGCAGTTCCCTGAGTGTCTTCCAGGCCCAAAGGTAGGATCCTGCCAACACCTGAAAAATTATGATTGTTTTTTAGTCTAAACATGGCCCATGGAAACCACACAGAGAAAAGACACAGAGAGTAGGCACAAAAAATATCTGTGACTTGTCTAAAACCCACTGGTATTTTGGAGTCTGCAGGTGTCACCAGAACACTTTGTATAATGGAAAACTCTTCTTTTTACAGATTATTTTGTGAAGTAAATGAAGGACTCTGTATTTTCTTCCTTCAGTGTGCAGACAGAGCATTCCTTCTGCCAGTCCTTCTCCTGGCTTTGGGAACTGTGTGTGACCAACCTGATCTCCACCTTTCAACCTTCCATCTGGAATTCTGAAAACTTTCCTGAGAAAATGACTGTTAGTCTTTGTAACCTTTTTTATTCCCTGGAAGAGAGTCTTAAATTGAGACTGAGTAAAGAAAGATGTGCATAAACCCTTGTTTTGGAAAGAAAGGGAAGAATCGTGTGCTTCAATCCTTGAAAATTGCTGTATTACAGAGGACAACTCCTGGTTTATTTTATTTGTTGATGATACGTGTTTCTAAGGTTTTATTGCCTGGTTCAGACTCATTAAAGCATCTTTTGGAGGAGTCCCTTTTAAGAAGGGAGCGGGAGGGATGGAGAACAAAAGGCCCCCCCTGCCTCAAGGTGCTCTCAGACTCAAAGTGCAATTACTCATGTTAAATCCTAACTCTCCAACATTTGTCTTGAAAAATGTCCCGTATTTTTCTAAAATGATTAGATTGACCAAAGAAATGGAGACCTATTTTATGTGATGATACCTCGTGAAATTAAGGTTGACAGGCGATAGACTTTCTCTTGAGGGGCACTTGAGAGAGAAAAGTAATCAATGGAGAAAGTTATAGGGAAATGTTAGCATAAGAATGAGTGGTTTCAAATAGTCTGCTCATAAATTTGGGCTGGACTTCAGGAGTTTGCTCACAGATAGAGGAAATGAGGTTTTGGAATGACTTTCCAATAATAATGGAAAAAGCAATCAAGCGAGTTGTGAGAGACGGAATAAGTTTTCTGCTATAAAACTTCTCATCTCGCTCATTCCCTGGGAAGTTCCTCACAGGCCTGTGTTCCTGCCCTAATGGAAATTCCCCAGGGGACAGGGCTGGCAGCGTGGCATCCTCCAAAGCCTCCTCTATTGGGAATTTTCAGAAGGGAGAGAAAGAAACTTCCCCCCAGCTTTTAGGAACCTTTATGGGTAAACAGAGGGTTGGGGTGACCCCTGGCTGGCTGCCAGATGCCCACCCAGCTGTTCCCTCACACCCCTTTCCCCAGAAAATCCCATTATTCATGTGCTGCTGGAAAAGTTCAGGGGGAATTTGTTGGTTCTTCTGCCATTGAGCCTTGAAGTGTGGAAAAAATCCCTTTATTTTTGAGCCTTTCTGACTTTCTTCACAGTCAGCATCACTAAAGACCTCCGAGAGATGTAAACAGCAACATTCCCATTTTGCACGTAAAAATAAACCTTGCTGGCTTGCTTGGAACTAATTTTCTAATTAATGGCCCCCTGATTTTGTTTTTTCCTTAGAAGTTTTGTTATTCCTGTGGATAACAGTCCTTTTGTTGTTGTTAGGCTCGTTTGGGTTATTTGTCCCCGGTGAGTGCCTCTTTTGATTTAACTTTAGGCAGTTGGGCAGAACAATACAGAGAGGAGAAATGAAAGTGCACAGAAAATATTCATTAAAAATATAAGTCCTTGCCTTAATTGCCAGGTGCAAGATTGCTTTTCTTTAGATTCTTTTCTCACAGCCTATTAACAGCCCCTTGTCTTTTTCCTTTTTTTTTTTCTAACCTTATATTTCTTTCCCAAAATGTGTTTAACAAGTGAAAACATTCTCCTTTAAAGGTCACACCGCTCTCAGATTGACTTGACTGTTGATTGCACTTGAGCTCCTTGCTTTAATTCATGTTAACCCCATTTGTTTTTAATTAAGCAATGTCTTTTAAGCAAAGATAGTCCATCACTGCTGGCAACAGGTGAGTTTTGCTTTTTAATATTCAGCCTTATATTTTAGTTTAACAGAGAGGAGGCTTTGAGGGTGATTTACTCAGACTATAGATTTTTCTAAGCAGGAATGCAAATTGTCTCACAGTTTTGCAAATGTCCAATTTAACTTAATAGCTTTCAAAGTGAATTGGAATAGGAACAACTCACCTAGACACAGACCCAACTGCATATTAACATATATTAGCTTGGGATCAAGGGGGTACCAGGTGGTATTTATGTTTATTAACACTGACTCTGTCCAAAAGTAACCCTTTCAGAACCAATGGGCTGATTCCTTTCTCCTTTCCCCTTTCCCAAACCTTCCCCTTTCCCTCTCTCTTCTCTCCCTCTCTGTCTCCTGTTCCCCTCCTTGTCCCTAATATTCACAAAATAATGGTTTGGGTTTGACAAATCAAATACAGATTTTGATATCTGGGTTATAGTGCTTAAAACAAAATGGAAAACAAACAAAAAATCCCAAAGGAAAGGGCCACAGATTTCCAGGGTAAGCTCTGGCACTGCTTTTTTTTCCATCAGCTTTCTTAATTTTTCTTGTATTCTGAAGTGCATCAAAGAAGAGAACACAGAGAAAGTTGTCTGTATTGTTTGCTTCTTGTCGGTGTTAATCATTTAATGCTGATTACTTGCTTAGAGCACAATTTCTGTGCAAAGAAACCAACCAAGGAAATGTAATCCTGTCTAAAATTTGCAAGTGAAAGGGCAATGGGGGTCTAAGAAAGCATTAAAGCCTTTCAGATGATATTTGGCAGCTGAAGGCACGAGAACTCTTAAATCTTTCTCAATTTGTAGTGATTAGTAAATATTACACATGACTTTCTAGGAGTTTTGCTTTTCCTTTTATGCCATCTCTGTCTTCTGACAGCAGAACTGGAAATTCTGGCAGTTGTGACTGGAATGTTAAGAACTGAACGAGGTGTTTTTAGTCAGTAGGATTCATTAGCTGGTTTTGCTTGAGTTGTGTAATATCATCATTATTATAGATATACTTACAGAATTAATTTGCTTTGCTTTTACAAGACAGAACAGAATTTCTTACATATTTATTACTTGGTGATTAAGCAACAGTAAACCCTTTACTTCTAAGCAGGAGATTTTTCTCAAAACACCTAAATTTTTTTTATTTCATGTATTCAGTCCTTCTCCCCCCACCTTGCTGGAGTTTTTGATAATAGATTCTTGGCTTTTTCTACTGCTTCTTGGATAAAGTAATGAAAAGGAAGCCAACAATGGTAATCAAACTGCATTATAGCAAAGCTCTGCCTTTCAGCTCCCAATTGCTGCAGAAATCGGGCCCAATTCATTCCATGTAAATGAAATTTCCTTCCTCTTTTCACAAACATGTTCCCCAAATACTGTGTATTTCTTCTCATTAATTCAGGGAAAAGCTCAACTTTGAAACTCAGCAATTATTAGGAGTTCTCTGGGCTGCAGAAGATGGCAAAAGTAGCTGAGGACACCAATAAATACAGTAGCCACACACATCTTGCTGCTCCTCCTTCTAATTTCACTGCCAACAAGGAGCAGACAAAGTGAACAATAAATGGACTTGTTAGAGCTGTTAGGAAAAAAAAAAAATCCAAAAATGCAGTGCACGTGCTTTTTACTATGTGATCAAAATGGTTTTCTCTTTTTTACCTGACAGGTTTCTTGATGTTTTCTTTATTCCAGGTTCTTTTTTGGGCAGGAGAAATTCATAGCCAAGTCCTGTCTGCTTACACAAAGGCTCCATTGCTCCTAACTTTGTGATGAATGGGTAAGAGTTTTCTTCACTTAAAATCTTAGGGGGCTTTTTAATTTAGTTTTTTCCCCCTCATTTGGCACTCTGTTCAAAAAGGTGTGTCTTTTACTGTCTCTCACAGCCACGTTTCCAGTGCTGCTGCTGCTCTGTGCCTGGGTTTGCACATGTTATGAAAAATGTGCTGGAAGCTCCTTCCAGCATTTTTGTTTCATCCCTGTATTTCTTCTCTGCACATCTCTGCTCCCAGTTCATGGAATCACAGAATATCCTGAGCTGGAAGGGACACACAAGGATCATCCAGTCCAACCCCTGGCCCTGCACAGACACCCCTAAAATACCACCCTGTCCCTCAGAACATTGTCCAAACCCTCCTGGAGCTCTGGCAGCCTTGGGGCTGTGCCCACTGCCCTGGGGAGCCTGGTCAGTGCCAACCACCCTCTGGGGGAAGAACCTTTCCCTGAAATCCAGCCTGAGCCTGCCCTGGCACAGCTCCAGCCATTCCCTGGGTGCTGTCCCTGCTCACACAGAGCAGAGCTCGGTCCCTGCCCCTCCTCTGCTCAGCCACAGCTCTCCAGAGGGAAAAGAAGCACCTGGGAAACCAGGGAACAGGGGAAGAGAGCAAAGGAGGGAGAGGAGAAGTGAGCAAAGCTTGCTCTGAGTGCAGAGGTGATAAACGCTCAGCTGAGCCCTGTTACTGAGCCACGTGGCAAATTAGTGCCTGGAAAGAGTTTTTCTTAGTAGGAAAACGTTGGACAGCTTTTGTACAGTGACACTGGGGAGGAAATAACTCAGTGCTCTCATTGCTTCCCAAAATTGGAGAGCTCAGCTCAAGCAGCAGCGAATCCTCAGTGTGTGTCTCTCTCCCCTTCTCCCATTATCACTCAGAGGTATCAGAATTATGGAATGTCCTGAGCTGGAAGGGACACACAGGGATCATCCACTGCAACCTCTGGGCCTGCACAGACACCCCTAAAATACCACCCTGTCCCTCAGAGTGTTGTCCAAACCCTCCTGGAGCTCTGGCAGCCTTGGGGCTGTGCCCACTGCCCTGGGGAGCCTGGGGGAAGAACCTTTTCCTGAGATCCAACCTTACCCTGCCCTGGCACAGCTCCAGCCATTCCCTGGGTGCTGTCCCTGCTCACACAGAGCAGAGATCTGCTGCGCCAAAGGTGGGGATGATGAAGGTGTCCCTGCAGGAATTCTTGCCCTGTGTTCTTCAGAAACAGCTCAGCAGAGATCTGGGAAGTAGCAGGAAAGAAACCAGATAGGAGAGGGGAAAAAATAAATCCACAAAGCAGATTTGAAAGGCAGCAAAATGCAGCTGGCTTCACTGGAGCAAAAATTCCTTGAGGGAAAACCCAGCATGAAGTATGAAACCCCCTGGGCCTGACTGAGCAGTGATTTTATTGCTTTGCATTTGGTGTGGTCACACCCAAGAGCTGCCATTTCAGACCCCACAGACATGTTAATAGAGGCAACACTATTAATGGGGTGAAATTTGTGCAAAGCCTCCCCCAAACCAAAATTCTCATCTTCTTCAGCTCCCAGTCTGCACAAGGAATTAAGGGTGGCTGATTCCCAGCCTGCTGGGATGATGGTGCAAAACCTACTCATGAATAAGGTCATCAAGCAGAGGTGCAAGTGCTGAGCTCTGCTCTGTGTGAGCAGGGACAGCACCCAGGCTGGAGCTGTGTCAGGGCAGGCTCAGGTTGGATCTCAGCCAAAGGTTCTTCCCCCAGAGGCTGGTTGGGCACTGCCCAGGCTCCCCAGGGCAGTGGGCACAGCCCCAAGGCTGCCAGAGCTCCAGGAGGGTTTGAATGATCCTCTGGGGCACAGGGGGAATTGTTGGGGTGTCTGTCCCAGGGGGAGTCCCAGTGATGCTCTGCTTAATTTCTGGAGGGCAGTTATGCTTAAAATAACACAGCTTTGGAGCCTGCTGGAGTGCAAATAGGATTTTACAGAATCATAGCACAGTTTGGCTTGGATGGGACCCTAAAGGTCATCTAGCCCAGAGAAGCTGTGGCTGCCCCATCCCTGGGAGTGTCCAAGGCCAGGTTGGACAGGGCTTGGAGCAACCTGGGCTAGTGGAAGGTGTCCCTGCCCATGGCAGGGGCTGGAGATGGGCTTTGAGGTCCCTTCCAACTCAAACCATTCCATGGCTATGGTTCTGTGTTACTCTTTCTCACAAACCATGTGCCACATTCAAGCATTGACCTTCCATGTCAGAAATGTTTAAATTAAGGTGGTGCCATCACTGGAACTGGCTGACAGGCACAGGGTTGAGATCTGGGGGAAGAAGCTGACACTGAAAACCCCACTGCTTTTGTTGTGTTCAGGATTTCACTTTGAATTTCAGAGTATTTCCCCCCAATGTGTTGTGTCCCTCTGTGGGAGAAAAGGATGAAACTCGGTGCCTTTCAGATTCCTGAGGATGGTATTCAACAGAATTTATGTTTTGGAGGGGTAAAGGAGATTTCTGGTGATGAGAGAGGCTCTGTTTGAATCTAATCCCTTTCACCTGTTGAACAATTATTGATGACTTTCATTAATAGGGTTTTGTTGCTGGTGCTACCTAAAAGAGAACAATCAGTCCTGCATCAAGCTACATGTGAAAAGCCTGTCTTTATTTGCATGGTAATGAAGTACTACCTAAGGTGTTAGAAGTAGAATCAGTAGGCTAATGAGATTTTATGCAAACAATCTCAAGTAACAACCTGGTCTCACCCTTAGATAAAAGGATTTGTTGGAAGTAGGAAAATACTTTTAAGGTGTTGGGTATTTTTTTTAAAAAAAAAAAAGATGTATTTTTGTATCAGTGCAAATTGAAACATGAAAAAGGAACTTTTTTGAAGTAAAATATTACAGAAAATAATTCCAATCTATCTACATGCTGTAGTAAATAAAGGCCTAATCAGGTTGTTTCCTGTGACAAGGGGTTTAGTCTTGTGCATCAGTTTTATTCTTTTCTTTGTCACTGATACTTAGCCTTCTGACTGAAGTTCACAGCTGGAGGCAAACCATCCTCTTTGGAATAAAAAATAAAATAAAATAAAAATACTAAAACTATTGCCTACAACTCCAACTGACACACTTTGCAGTCGGGGAGAACTGACCCTAAAGGTACCATGTTCTGGCTGAGCCAAACATGCCACAATATTTTGGGGAAAAAGTGTGGATATACTTCCTTAGCTTTGAATTGGTGCCCTTTCTTTATTCTATTTTACTTATGATTGATTCTCAAATGTTTTAAGTGCAACATTATTGCAGAAAGCACATTTTTCTGCTGCACTGGTTGGCTCCAAATTAGGATTTTCTGGAGTTTTTTGGTGGGAAGAGGGAAATGAACTCTGTGTTTGCTCAGAGAGAGACAGAGAAATCTGCAGGGAACTGCTGTGGCCAAACCCTATTTGGTCACAAATCTTATTTTGGCCCAGTTATGGGGCTGAGTCATAAGAAAAACATGTCTTAAATGCATATAAGGTACTGTGAAATATGGTACAAAAGTATGGGTTCAACTTTGTGAGGTGGCTTGAAATCTCACAAACTGTGGGTTTATCCAGCACACAGAAAAAAATACAATGTAAACTATGCAGTTTATTAGAAAGACATGACAAAAAACAGAGGCACAATCAGGAACCTTAGGCAAAACCAAAAAAATATTTAGTAAAGATAGAGCTAAATGAGTCTCTTTTTCTATTTTCCCAGCCAGCTCGAGTGTGAGAGAGAAAACCATATTTTTATCCAGAAATCTGTGCTCCTGCCAACAATCTTCATTCTCTTTGTGCAAGAAATAAACCAGTTTTCTACATTTTCTCAGGTTGGTTTTCTGATGGACTCCAAGGAAAAGGATGGGCAGAAGAGGAAAGCTTTTTGCATCCTTAAGGATGCATTTTTCCTGTCAGCTGCTCCTCCTGTAGGACTGGCAGCTCTGTTCCTCCTGGGATCAGGCAGGGGCAGCTCTGGAGTGGCAGAGCTGTTGTTCAGCCTGGGAGAGAAGCACTCCCTGTCCCCAGAGTGTTCCATCCTTTTTCATGAGTGTTCAGAACTGGATGGAGGTGAAGAGTTGTGTTATCTTCAGAATCCCAGAATGGTTTGGGTTGGAAGGGACCTTAAAGCTCATCCCATCCCACCCCCTGCCATGGGCAGGGACACCTTCCACTAGCTCAGGTTGCTCCAACCTGGCCTTGGACACCTCCAGGGATCCAGGGGCAGCCACAGTTTCTCTGGGCAACCTGTGCCAGGGCCTCCCCACCCTCACAGCCAACAATTCCTTCCCAAATATCCCATCTGACTCTGCCCTCTGGCAGTGGGAAGCCATTCCCCCTTGTCCTGTCAGTCGAAACCCTTTTCCAGAGTCCCTCTCCAGCTCCTTTGGAGCCCCTTTAGACACTGAAAGTTCTTATAAGGTCTCCCCAGAGCCTTTTCTTCTCCAGGCTGAACAATCCCAATTCTCCCAGCCTGTCCTCACAGGAGAGCTGTTCCATCCCTCTAGTCATCTTTCACTAATGAATAGATAAATGGAATGAATTTTCATTACAATCAAATTACTTCCTGCTAAAAATGCCAAGGAATCTGGTTCTTTTTAGGAAAAACCCCCAAACTTTGTCATTTCTCGGTTATCATTTTCTTATTATTTTTCTCCATTTTATTTTTTACTTGCTGCTGAAACCAAGGCCCTGAAGATGTGGGTAAAGCAGCATTTCATGGCAGAGCACTTGTGAAATGTGGGACGTGTCTCCTTTGAATTTCCTTGGGATGCTGCCAAGATGCTCCTTGACAGGCAGCAAGTGAAAGGAGTGTTCCTCGAGATGAGAGATGCTCCATTCCACCTCAGAATTCCCTGTGTTTGGGAAAGGGATTTGAACAACCCTAACAGCTTTTGTTAAGCAGTTGTGGGGTATTTTGTTTTGCTGTGGGGAAGAGAGTGAGAAAGCTGAGGCTTCCTGACTGATGGGATTTGAAAGTTGGCTCAGTGTGGGTGTTGTCTCACTGATTCCTTTTTGCTTCCTTCCCTTCATTGATTGCAAACCAAGTGAGACCTGTGTGAGCCCAGAAATGCTGCCCTAAAATAGCAGGGGTCCAGTTCCAACAGCTTCCCAGTTCCCAGCTCTCTGTTGTCATCACAGTGAACACATTTTTGGAGACAAAAGCAGAATGTCTGAGCTTTGTGTGGTGTCCCTGCTGGGCACTGGCAGGACAAGGCTCCTGTTATCTGTATTTTGCTCCATGTGCTGCACTCTCCAGGCTAATGATGGGTTGCTTTTTATTTCAGTCTTTGAGCTCAAAACTGAGTAAAATTGGAGAGAAAACAGATCAGAGGGAAGAACAGATTTGGTTGGGGTGTTGTTTTCCAGCAGTTCTTTCCACAATTTTGTTTACTGAAAACAGCAGAAGTTTTCAATTCTGTATTTCTCAGATTTTTAATCGAAAGGACCATTATTAAAAAGCTCTGACAAGCTAAATTAGACTTTCTGCTTTGGTTTTATCAGGTCTGATGAGAACTCGCAATATAATCTGTAACTATTTATGAGTCAATTTTTTTCGTGGATATAAATTCCTTTTTAATTTTTCTGGGAGGTCCTTCAGCTTCTCCTGCTATGGAACCCAGGAGAACCAGAGAATTAAAATCTAAGGCAGCAATTACAGTGAATTATAATTTTACTGTTTCCCATATGAAGAATTAGTTTGTTCCATTTCTTGTTCTTGTTACAACCTTTGTCACGAGCATAAATTATCTAAATTTTTTCATGGTTTAGTATTCCATGTAAATTCTAGTGGAAGGGAGACAGTGTGACCTCTGTGCTGTCCTGCTTTCTGCTCTGGGATCATTTTTCTTTATCTTTAAGAGAAAAATAGTGAAAACAGGTGACTCCTGGCAGTTCTTTACAGCAGAGCCATTGAGAAATTAGGATTTTTTTGTGGTACTTAGGTGTGGAAATAAACTGTGTGGAAAAGTATTGGCAAGGGGGATATCCTGCCTGGGATTTCTGCTTCTTATTACTTGCCTGGATTTCTTTTACAGCCTCCAAAATTAGCCTGAGGTCATCCTGCAGTGGGGTAGGGACAGATTAGATGTCTGTGGCACTTGGGCTGTGGTTCAGTGGAGAACATGGTGGTGACCCTGCACTGAGCGTCTGATTTGAGGATCTGAAAGGTCTTTTCCCACCTTAATGATGCTATAATTCTAGAGAACACCCAAATAACTCCCTGCTCTCTGCTGCTTTATCATGAATTGGGTAATGAACATAAAATAGTTCTTGGGGTTTGTGAAGAGGGAATTTTGGGAGCACAGTGAGGTTTTTCACAGTGGGACCATAAACTCCTCAGGAAACCTGAACTGAGCCTTTAGTTGACCACAAGATTTCACCAGGAATTGTAGTGACAGGACAAGGAGTGATGGGTTCAGACTGAAAGAGGACAAAATTAGGTGAGATATATGGGAGAAATCCTTCCCTGTGAGGGTTGGGAGGCCCTGGCACAGGTTGCCCAGAGAAGCTGTGGCTGCCCCTGGATCCCTGCAAGTGTCCAAGGCCAGGTTGGACGGGGCTTGGAGCAACCTGGGCTAGTGGAAGGTGTCCCTGCCCATGGCAGGGGGTGGCACTGGATGAACTTTAAGGTCCTTCCCACCCAAACCATTCTGGGATTCTGTGATTTCCAGCCTCATGACATTTACCTATTTTGTTATAGGTTTATCTGGCCTTGGTTTCTATGAAAAATTGAAATGAGAAGCAAGTTTTTGTACTTTTAAAAATCATGAAGGCTTGGAATTTATTTTTTTTTTGGGGGGGGGGGGGGGAAAGAGGGGAGTGGTGTTTTCATCCCCTCAGTGACTGTCAGTGGTGTGTCGTGGTCACAGATCATACAGTGAGGATCAACTCAGGCCCCATAAACAACCAACTGCTCCGTTGTGTTGGACAGTTCCTCCTGGTGTTTTATTGCTTCAAGCAGAAACACAATATTATTTACTTCAGAATTACAAAGACTCACAGAAAATTGGGGTTTGCACGTGTCCTTTGGCATTATTTTCCTGCCTGTGTCACATCCCCTGTTCCTGACTGCTGTTTGTTACAATCTGCTTCTTCAGTGCTGGATTTTACATCCCTTGTAGAGAAGCAGGGGAAAATCTGCTGCATTCAGAGCCAGCTCTCCCACTCCAGGAGCAAAAACTCTCATCACTTGAACACCTTTCCCTGTATTTCCCATTAAAGTGATTATTTGAGGTGCTGAGGAGACAATAACCCTCTCAAGCTCTTTGTGCAATGACTTGAGTACAGCAGATCATTTCTGGGAGATGGTTTAGAAAGTCTCAAGGGCTGTTTCCAGAGCACTTCTGACAGTGGGGAAGTACAGTTGGTTTTCTGGGAAGTGCAGTTGTTGGTCAATACAGCAGGAATTGAGGGAGAATGAAGGACAATTTGGGAGTGAGTGAACTCATGCACAAAGCACCATAAACCCTCTAATTTCCCAGGCACTGGTTCTAATATGATCCATTTATTGAAGATAATCCATTTTAGGCAGAAATCTTGAAGAATATAAGAATTCCTGTGGGTTTTACTGAGGTTACTGAGATGTGTAGCACAGTGTAAGTGCTTTTATGGTTTTTCCAGTCTGGGCAATGTGGACTGGACAGTTTTTTACTTAACTGAGGACCCCTGTAACAGTGCCATAGATTCTTTTTGCTGTACTTTGCTTCCATGCTTAAGAATTTCCCTTAAGAGCCTCATTTTCTGCAACCTCAGTGAGCAGATTTTACTTATTAAGGGATCAACATTTAACTCAGACTAGTTGTATGTAATTGGAAATTCCTACAAAAAATTATTGTTTCCACTTTGCAGAAAAGGTGGTTACTGGTATCAGTTTATTATTTTGTCTGAGAGCTTTGATAATAACCTTTGTCTCTCTAATTCCAGGGATTTAATTTTGGAGTAGTATCGAAAGGAAATCAGTGTAAAAGTTATGTTGTGTCTCAGGAACAGCCAGCATTCTGAATTCTTATTAATTGCATGGAGTTGAAAAATATCATTTCAGAAAAGCATTTGTCAGAAATGTCTCTGACAAAGCATAGAACAAGGATGTGAAATGGAAAATATAATAGACAAGGGTTCCACTTTTGTGCTTTGTGGCCATTTCAAACAGTGCTTCCCTTGGTGTTGCATCACATCTTATTATTGTGGAAATCAGGGCAAAGCCACAATGTTGGTTTTGTATTTGTGAACCTGGTGAGTGGCTTTACTGAATATTTTAATATTTGATAAAGTGGTTTAATTGGAAATCAGTCAATTCCTCTTTAGACTCTGAGGAATGAGGTTCAGAGCTCTTCCAGCTGCCCCTGCTGAAGGAAAAAAAAAGACCTGGCTCCAATTTGGAGAAATGTCTGAGTAAGTTCCTCATCCTGAAGTATCCACGGGAGTCAAGAGAAGTTAAAAGTGCATAAATGGTTTGCTGGTTGAACCTATGATGAGTGCAGCTCATCAATAACAAACTAAGAGGATTAAATAGAACCTGCAGAAACCAACCAACCAACCAACCCCCCCAAAAAACCCAAACAAAGCAGACAAACTCTGGAAATAGAATCTGTCATGCTTTCCTAAATAAGGCAATTTTCCTGATGTGGTGCTGCAATGTCTGGGTTAAGGTGGGCAGAGGATCATGTGCTCAGCTAACCCCTGGCATTCCAATCACCCAGCAGCAGCATTTTATCAAAAGCCAAACAGAGAATCAAAATATCAACAGCAAAGAGCCAAATGTGACCCTTTTCTAGCAGAATTTTCCCAGAATGTGCTCATAACCAGCTTTTTAAATATCAA